ATCATTTAGCTTTTTTGGTTTTTAAGTCCTTTCCTCTTTTTTGGGGGGGGGGTGATGGTCACTCATTGGTCTGTTCAGGGTATAGTGTCCAAATTTGGTGTCAATTCCCCCAGTGGTTTTTTGAGTTCTGTTAATCCCACAAACGAACATGACATTTTTATTTATATAGATGTATGTATGTATGTGGCAGGTTTTGCAACCATGATTGCAAGACATGAGAAACCCATCAGCCACGGAGACATGGGAGGCTGGAAGGGTCTTTGTAGGTCCTCCTCCTTCATCCCTGTCCCCTCCTCTCTAGGATTTCAATAAACAACCCATTCAATGTGATTAAGGTCATAAGAGATGCGGATCAATCGATCCGAGGGCAATAACGTCTTGACTCAATGAACTGCCGGACATACGAGATCGATGGCTCCTGCATCCCGGCATCAGCGGCCCAAACCCAGGACGAGCAAAGAGAGAAGATGCCCTAAAAGATGCCACTATTGATTGTTTATTGATTTATACGATTCGTATTTTATTGATTGTTTATTGATGTTGTGTTTGATGTCCTTTGGGCTTGGCCTCATGTAAGCCGCACCGAGTCCCTTGGGGAGATGGTAGCAGGGTACAAATAAAGTATTATTATTATTATTATTATTATTATTATTATTATTATAAACTGGGAAGCAAGAAGCTCAAGATACAGAATGGAATTGAAGAAGGGGGGAGAGAAAGAGAGAGGGAAGGAGGGAAGGGGCCTGACTCCAATCAAAGCGCTTTCTAAGGCAACTTCTCACGGGTTTTGCTTCCCTTATATGGCAAAAAAATATTATCCCGGCTTCCCTGATGCAAGGAGCAGCCGTGCCTCCCCCTTCCGGCTTCTCCCTGCGGCCTGGACGGCTGCTGCGGATGGGGGCTGGTGGGCAAGGCAACCCCCGGCCGCATTTCCAGAGGGGGCAAAGAATGGGAGCAAAGGCAGATTCGCCCCCCCCCCCTTCTCTTTTTCCCCAAGGTCATTTGCAGCCGGGTCTGGAAAAAGAGGAGGAAAGGGTCTGTGGGATTCGGATTGGTTTCCTCTCTGACTCAATTTGGGGGGGGGGGGGGGGGGGGGGGGGGAGAGGACAGGAAGGATGACCATTCCAAAAGGAAAAGGGCACACATTCCTGGGTCATGAACTCCATACACAGACAGATAATGTATGTATGTATAGTGTATATATGTTTATAGTGTGTGTATGTATATATATGCATGTGTGTGCATACATATATATAGAGAGAGGGGGGGAGTGTATATGCGTATGTGTGTGTGTGTGTGTGTGTGTGTGTGTGTGTGTGTGTGTGTGTATATATATATATATATATATATATATTGGGGGTATATATATAGTGTGTATATATGGGGGGTTTTACACACATATACACACAGACACAGACAGACAGACACACACACACATATATATATAATGGGTGTCCCTGACATGTATGCATGCTTAACCATATAAATGTATATGTATACATACACACACATATATACATACACACATACATATATATGGTGTGTATGCATGTATATGTATCTGTGTGCATGTATATATTTGGGGGGGTGTATATATATATATACATACACACACACACACATACAAACAAACAATACATATATTTATATACACAGAGAGAGAGAGAGAGAGAGAGAAAGGGTTAAGGAAGAATACATATCTGGGATACCCAGTACACACACACGCATGCGCACACACAAACACACACACATATATATATGCACACATCTATATATGTATATATGTGTGTGTGTAGAGAGAGAAAGGGTTAAGGATGCATACATATCTGAGATACCCAGTACACACACACATATGTATATGTATGTATATATGTATATGTGTGTGTGCAGAGACAGAAAGAAAGGGTTAAGGATGCATACATATCTGGGATACCCAATACACACACATATATGTATATGTATGTATATGTATGTATATATGTATATATGTGTGTGTAGAGAGAGAGAAAGAAAGGGTTAAGGATGCATACATGTCTGGGATACCCAATACACACACACACATTTATATATGCATATATGTGTGTGTGTGTAGAGAGAGAGAGAGAGAGAGAGAGAGAAAGGGTTAACGATGCATACATGTCTGGGACACCCAGTACATATATATATGTGTGTGTGTATAGGGATAGAGAGAGGTTTATGTACGTGTATATTTATGTATGTCTATACATGGGTGTGTACATGTGTGTGTGCAGACATACATGTATATACACACATATATATACTGGGTTTCCCAGACATGTATGTATCCTAAACCATTTAAAAATTTGATATTATCAATTACAATCCCCACCCCCACCTTCACAGAAGATTCACCCACCCCCAAGAGGATTAAAGATCCCAATATTATTATTACTGACAGGACACCCAATTGCTGAAATTAATTAGGTTTCCAACTCTTCTGCCAGGAAAGCCAGGCACGGCTGAGCCAAAGCAACCATTTCCATGACACCGTCATTTCAGATGGAATTGGGGGCGCTGAGCAAATCATGATTCTAGCATTTACTCCTCAATCCTGGATGGATCTACTGACCTTTCAAATAAGGTTTGCAGCTACCATTAGCTGCAGAATGCTGCTCTCTCTCTACATATATATACACATATACATACATACATACACACACACACACACATACACTTGGGGTAGGGAGAAAAGCTGCCTGAGGTAAGCTAAAAGGAGCAAAGAAGGGGGAAAGGAAAGGAGGAGACTCTAGTAACATACGTGTGTGGTGAGTGTATATATATATGTGTGTGTGCATATATATATATGTATTATGTGTGTGTGTCTATATACATACATCTCTCAGTTAAGCAGAACTCAAGCAACCAGAACTCTCAAGCCACTGACAGAATTTTTTTGGTTGAAGAAATATGAATTTAATTAAATATAATCATTTTTAGAACAAATGTAAATTTCAGTCTGTCTGGATTTTTTTTCCCATGACCACAGATATGAAGTCAACACAAGGTTGATGGTATAGGATAGCATGGAGTTTAGTATTAGGCCTATTTTTATAGCAACTCTCAAGCAACCAGAAACTACGTTCACTGACATTTCCCAATCCCCAGGGTTGCCATGGATTAACACAAGCTACTATATATATGTGTGTGTGTATGCATATATATGTATGTATATGTATATATGTATATAATATAGAGGTATATACATTTTACATACATATATGTACATATTGCATATGATTCTATATTGCATGTTTCTGTATATATAGATTTTATAAACATATATATATATACATAAACATACATATAGTATATATATACACACAGATGATATATTTATATACAGATTTTATATATACATATTATATATAATAATAATAATATACAAATGCACAGATATAGATGATAATTATATAGGGGGTGCTGTGGCTTTTAGCTTTGATTATGTTTTAGGGATTGTAATGTTATAGATTATATAGATATGTATTATATATATACACATTTATACACATGTATGCATACACACATATATATGTATATAGACATTATATACATACATATGCATATATGTATGCATACACAGTGACACAAACATATATATATAGATTATATATTACAATATTATAGATTATATAGGCATGTATTATATATACAACCACACATGTATGCATAAACACACATATATGTATATATAGATTATATATGATCATATTATAACTATTTAGATATGTATTATATATATACGCATATACACACATGTATGCATACACACATATATATGCATATATAGAGTATATAGATATTATATACATACATATGCACATATATGTATGCATTCACATTGACACAAACATATGTATATAGATTATATATTACGATATTATAGATTATATAGGCATGTCCTATATATACATATATACACAAAAACAAATATATGTATGTATACACATAGGCACATATATAGAGTATATGAGAGTATATTATAGATTATATAGGCATGTATTATATATACATACACACATATATGTATATACATAGATATGTGTATATATACATTATGAGTGTTTTATAGATTATATAGACATGAATTACATATACACATATATGTATATATATGTACACATAGACCTATATATGTATAGATTATATATGAGATTATTATGCATTACATAGAAATGTTTTGTATATATATATATGCACATATATGTGTATATAAATTATATGACTGTATTAATCACATACACATATGTCATATCAGTAGCGACTTGCAGTTTCTCAATTTGCTCCTGAGACAGAAAAATAGTGTGTATATACTATATATTATTTCATTTTTCTGTGTGAGGAAGGACTTGAGAAACTGCAAGTCGCTTCTGGTATGTGAGAACTGGCCGTCTGCAAGGACGTTGCGCAGTGAATGCCCGGATGTTTGATGTTTTACCATCCTTTTTGGGAGGCTTCTCTCTCGTGTCCCCTTTGCATGGGGAGCTGGAGCTGACAGAGGGAGCTCCTCCGCGCTCTCCCCGGATTCCTGCCGGCAAAAGGGCTGAATAACATAATCCACCGGGGGGAATAACATAATATAGGATATATATTAAAATTATACACCCACACATACATAGAATAATAATGATGATGATGATGATGGAATCTCCCTGTTGACTGAGGGGAGAGGGCCGGGATCCTTCTGACTGGGAAAGAGACAGGATTCCCCCCTCTTTTGCCTCACGTTCAGAGTTCCGCGAAGGGTAAGAAGCGGCGAGGCGGGCGATACCAACTGGGGCGGGGGGGGGAGAGAAGAGCGGGGCTGGGAGAGAGGGTCGGGATCCTTCTGACTGGGAAAGGGACAGGATTCCCCCCTCTTTTGACTCACATTCAGAGTTCCGCGAAGGGTAAAAAGCGGTAAGGCGGGCGATACCAACTGGGGCCGGGGGGGGGAGAGAGAAGAGCGGGGCTGGGAGGCGAGCGCCCCCTGCCGGACTCACCCATCCGCCGTGCTCGACCATCCAGGCGCGCTTCTCCTCGGCCAGGTAGGCGGCCAGCGCCTCGGAGAGGCCCTCGCGGGTGGCCTGGCCCTGGGCCGGCCCCTGCCCGCGCTCCGCCAGCGCCACCGCCACGTTCCCGGCGAAGACCACCAGCGCCACCACGCGCCCCCAGTTCAGGCCCCCTCCGCCGGCCTCCTCCTCCTCCATCTGCGCCGCCACCCGCCACACCAGCGCCGCCGCCTCCACCTGCCCGCCCGTCTCCGGGAGCGCGCTGGCCGCCGCGCAGCGGAAGAAGTGCCGCTCCCGCCGCTCCAGCTCCTCCGCCACCCGCCGCAGCGTCTCCCCCGCCCGGCCCGGAGCACGGCCCGCCGGCGCCAGCCCCACGCGCCGCTCCAGGTAGTCGCCCACCAGCAGCGCCGTCTCCTCGCGCAGGGACAGCGGCATCATCGTCCTCGCACGGGAGAAGGAAGGAGGGAGGGAGAGAGCGGGAGAGCGAGGAGCCGGAGAGCAAAGGCCCCGGCCGGCGGCGGAGACTGACTAAGAAGGCGGCGGCGGCAGCGCCCCCGCCCCTCCTGCACACGTGTCTCGCCGGCGCCGGCTACGGCCCCGCCCACTCCTCCTCTCGAGTTTTAACCCCACCCCCTGATCTAGCCCCGCCCCTTACGCAGATCTTAGGTCTAACTGCTGTCGCTCCACCCCCCCGGCTTTAGCTCCGCCCCCTGCTCGTCTAGCTCTAACCCCGCCCCCCGACTCTAGCTCCGCCCCCTTGTCGTCTCCCAATTCTAACCTAGCTCCGCCCCCGGCTCCTCCCCAGTTATAACCCCGCCCGCCCCGGATCTAGCTCCACCCCTTATGCAGCTCTTAGGTCTAACTGCTCCTCGTCCCCCCCCCCGGCTTTAGCTCCGCCCGCTGCTCATCTAGTTCTAACCCCGCTCCCCGGATCTAGCTCCGCCCCCTTGTCGTCTCCCAATTCTAACCTAGCTCCGCCCCCGGCTCCTCCCCAGTTATAACCCCGCCCGCCCCGGATCTAGCTCCACCCCTTATGCAGCTCTTAGGTCTAACTGCTCCTCCCCCGGCTGGTCTTCTAGTTCTAATCTAGGTTCGCCTCCGGCTCCGCCCCAATTATAACCCCGCCCCCCGGATCTAGCCCCGCCCCTTATGCAGCTCTTAGCTCTAACTACCCCCCCCCAGCTCTGCCCCTGGTCTTCTTCCAGTTCTAAGTAGCTCCGCCCCCGGCTCCTCCCCAGTTCTAACCCCGCCCCCCCGGATGTAGCTCCGCCCAATACACAGCTCTTAGGTCTAACTGCACCAGACTCCAGCCCTGTCCCCTTCCCTAGTTCTAACCCCGCCCCCCGGATCTCGCTCCACCCCTTACGCAGCTCTTAGCTCTAACTGCCTCTGACTCCAGCTTCGCCCCCCACTCCTCCCTAGTTCTAACCCCGCCCCCGATCTAGCTCCGCCCCTTACACAGCTCTTAGCTCTATCTGGACCTGCCTCCAGCTCCGCCCCCTCCGGCTCTTCTCCAGTTATAGTCCCGCCCCCCAGATCTGGCTCCGCCCCTTACACTGCTCTTAGCTCTAACTGCCTCTGACTCCAGCTCCGCCCCCCACTCCTCCCTAGTTCTAACCCCGCCCCCGATCTAGCTCCGCCCCTTACACAGCTCTTAGCTCTATCTGGACCTGCCTCCAGCTCCGCCCCCTTCCCTATTTCTAACCCCGCCCCGCCCGGATCTAGCTCCGCCCCTTATGCAGCTCTTACCTTTAACTCTTCCCTTGGTCTCTCGCTCTGGCCCCGCCCCCTTCCCGGCCTTAAAGGAACAGCAGGGCAAATGGATTTGGGGCTTTTATCTAGTCTCAGTACACAATGCAGGAGCCCCCCTGCAGGTGGCGCAATGGGTTAAACCCTTGTGCCGGCAGGACTTAAGACCGAAAGGTCGGAGCTTCGAATCCGGGGAGAGCACGGGTGAGCTCCCTCTGTCAGCTCCAGCTCCCCATGCAAAGGGGACATGAGAGAAGCCTCCCGACAGGCTGGAGCAGGTCTGGGAGAAGCCCCCCCCTTAATACCAAGGGGGGGGACCCTGTTGGAGCATGTGCGGAATCTGTGACTGTGTGTGTGTCAACTGTAAAATAAGCTGCATGACACTGATTGGTCAGGCAAAGCTCGGGGAGGTGGCTGAACCTGGGACCTTTGGATACTGTTATATTTTTGTTCAGGCTTGAGCTATGCACGTGCACAGACAGTTTGATGAGAGAAGCACAGAAAGAGTTTGGAGTGCACTCCAAGCACATTAGGTGAGTTGATGTAACTGATCATATTGTACATATGTTGTTCCGGATTTGCGAAGAGTAAACTACTTGTTCTTTATTGTTCACCTGCGTCGCATATTTTCTTTCTCTGGCAAAGCAGTGTCTGGGCTGATCAAACTCCAAAAAAAATCGGGTGCCCTGACAAATTCGTAACCATCCAGCAGCTCCTCCATGATGACATGATGGCAACAGTCTTGGATAGCAATGGCCCCCATAGTGACCCATTTAAGGTGGAATCAGGTGTCAAACAGGGATGTGTTATTGCCCCAGCTTTATTCTCCATCTTCATTGCTATGATACTTCACCTTGTTGATGGGAAGCTTCCCACTGGAGTGGAAATCATCTATCGGACAGATGGCAAGCTGTTTAACCTCAACAGACTGAAAGCCAAAACCAAGGTTACAACAACATCTGTTATAGAACTCCAGTATGCTGATGATAATGTCATCTGTGCGCATTCTGAAGAAGATCTGCACAGAAGCATACGAGAAACTCGGCCTGTCATTGAAAATCGAGAAAACCAAAGTGCTCTTCCAGCAAAAGTCACCAGCCAATCCCTCTCCAATGCCAGAAATACAGCTTAATGGTGTAATATTAGAAAATGTGGACCATTTCCGCTCCCTTGCCAGCCCCCTCTCCACCAAAGTTAACATCGACGCCGAAATACAACACCGCCTGAGCTCTGCAAGTGCAGCATTTTTCCAAATGAAGCAGAGAGTGTTTGAGGACCGGGACATCCATAGGGAGACCAAGGGGCTTGTTTATAAAGCTATTGTCCTCCCAACCCTGCTCTATGCCTGCAAAACTTGGACTGTCTACAGATATCACATGCAACTCCTGGAACGATTCCATCAGCACTGCCTCCGGAAAATCCTACAAATCTCTTGGGAAGACAGGCGGACAAACGTCAGCGTGCTGGAATCAGCAAAGACCACCAGCATTGAAGCGATGGTCCTCCGCCATCAACTCCGCTGGACTGGCCACGTTGTCCGGATGCCTGACCACAGTCTCCCAAAGCAGTTGCTCTACTCCGAATTCAAGAACGGAAAACGGAATGTTGGAGGACAGGAAAAGAGATTGAAAGATGGGCTCAAAGCCAAACTTAAAATCTATGGCATAGACACTGAGACCTGGGAAGCCCTTGCCCTTGAGCGCTCCAGCTGGAGGTCAGCTGTGACCAGCAGTGTTGTGGAATTTGAAGAGGCACGAATGAAGGGCAAAAGAGAGAAACGTGCCAAGAGGAAAGCACCTCAAGCCAACCCCGACCGAGACCGCCTTCCACCTGGAAACCAATGCCTTCACTGTGGGAGAAGATGCAGGTCAAGAATAGGGCTGCACAGTCACCTACAGACCCACCGCCAGAACACCGACCTTGGAGGGCCATCATCCTCAGACTACGAGGAAAGTAAAGTACACATGATTTGCAACTCAGCATCTGTATGCTTGTCCACTGTGCCCTGCCTCATGTACAGACCACTCCACATCTGCATGCTTGTCCACTATGCCCTGCCTCATGTACAGGCAACTCTGTATCTGTATGCTTGCCCACCATGCCCTGCCTCATGTATGGACAACTCCGCATCTGTATGCTTGTCCACTATGCCCTGCCTCACGTACAGACAACTCTGCTCCTGTATGCTTGTCCACTATGCCTTGCCTCACGTACAGACAACTCAGCTCCTGTATGCTTGTCCACTATGCCCTGCCTCATGTACAGACAACTCTGCATCTGTATGCTTGTCCACCATGCCCTGCCTCATGTACGGACAACTCCGCATCTGTATGCTTGTCCACTATGCCCTGCCTCATGTACAGACAACTCCGCATCTGTATGCTTGTCCACTATGCCCTGCCTCATGTACAGACAACTCTGTATCTGTATGCTTCTCCACTATGCCTTGCCTCATGTACAGACCACTCCGCACCTGTGTGTTTGTCCACTATGCCCTGCCTCATGTACGGACAACTCCGCACCTGTATGCTTGCCCACTATGTCCTGCCTCATGTACAGACCACTTGGCATCTGTATGCTTGTCCACTATGCCCTGCCTCATGTACAGACCACTCCGCACCTGTATACTTGTCCACTGTGCCCTGCCTCATGTACGGACAACTCCGCACCTGTATGCTTGTCCACTATGTCCTGCCTCATGTACAGACAACTCCGCACCTGTATGCTTGTCCACTGTGCCCTGCCTCATGTACAGACAACTCCGCACCTGTATGCTTGTCCACTGTGCCCTGCCTCATGTACAGACAACTCCGCACCTGTATGCTTGTCCACTGTGCCCTGCCTCATGTACAGACAACTCCGCACCTGTATGCTTGTCCACTGTGCCCTGCCTCATGTACAGACAACTCCGCACCTGTATGCTTGTCCACTGTGCCCTGCCTCATGTACAGACAACTCCGCACCTGTATGCTTGTCCACTGTGCCCTGCCTCATGTACAGACAACTCCGCACCTGTATGCTTGTCCACTGTGCCCTGCCTCATGTACAGACAACTCCGCACCTGTATGCTTGTCCACTGTGCCCTGCCTCATGTACAGACAACTCCGCACCTGTATGCTTGTCCACTGTGCCCTGCCTCATGTACAGACAACTCCGCACCTGTATGCTTGTCCACTGTGCCCTGCCTCATGTACAGACAACTCCGCACCTGTATGCTTGTCCACTGTGCCCTGCCTCATGTACAGACAACTCCGCACCTGTATGCTTGTCCACTGTGCCCTGCCTCATGTACAGACAACTCCGCACCTGTATGCTTGTCCACTGTGCCCTGCCTCATGTACAGACAACTCCGCACCTGTATGCTTGTCCACTGTGCCCTGCCTCATGTACAGACAACTCCGCACCTGTATGCTTGTCCACTGTGCCCTGCCTCATGTACAGACAACTCCGCACCTGTATGCTTGTCCACTGTGCCCTGCCTCATGTATGGACAACTCCGCATCTGTATGTTTAATGCACTACGCCTTGTCTCATGTACAGAGGAGGAATTGTTGAAGGCTACAGACAATGCTGTTGCTGTTGCCTGTTTTTTGTCAAAATATAATTAGCCGCCTGCGCTCCTTCTATTTTTATCAGTTTTATACTAACTTTTGATACGAAATAAATAAAGCTCTTGGACGAATGTATGATTTCTGTGCCGAATGTCACTGACAAGGGCATGGCTAGCCATCACGTCTTCTAAAACCCATTTTGGAACTGAAGTGAATCAATCTGCCACCTAATAAATAAGGACAGGCCCCGGGTTTGGGTAAGAACGGAGGAGGCTGGAAGA